ATTTATTTGTTTAAATCAAAAATCAAATACAACATATAACTAATATAAAATAAAAATCAAAGTGGAAGGAAAAAATCTTAAAGCAATGCACAAATAATAAGATCATGTGAGTAAATTCGAACCTCTGATCTCCTAATAAAGTACAACAGTTCTAGTCACCAGGTTAACCTCGTTGATTCCAAAGATATCAGTTCAAAATGAAATTACTGTTTATTTATTTATTTTTTGATAAATCAGTTCAAAATAAAATTATTCACCATGTTTGTTTTCAATTTTTTGAAAACATTTTTCAAAAAATTCTACTTTCTTATTTTTTGTATTTTTACTGAATTTTTTTAATATTTTAAGCAATTATTTTTAATTTTTAGACACACCTAACATAAATACACTTAGAAAGTATAATTTTAGTGATTTTTTTTAAAAAAAAATCCACTAAATACCAAAAATACAAAAAAAAAAAAAACAAAAACAAAAACAAAAATTCAGTATATTTTTCATATTTTTGTGTATTTATTAATTTTTTAAAATATTTTTTTCATAAATATTTTATTTTTTAGATACATTTAAGTAAGGTGCATATAAAAAACTAAAAAAATGCTTAAAATTTCAAAAACATTCATTAAAAATAAAATAAAAAAATATGAAAAATAAAAAACTTAATTTTAAAAAAATTAAAACCAAACACACTAATTGATATCATAAAATGTGTGGTCAGTAATATTTGTTTACAAAACCCATCATCGTATTGTTATTTTTTCTTAAATTTTTTGAGTCTTGGTTCATTTTTTTTGTTTCTTTGGATGGATAAGTCTTGCTACATTGAAGGAATGAAAAGTTGTAAGAAAAGGCAGGGGAGGAGAGTTTGGAAGTTCGTTAACACTTTGCATCAAATTGATATTGTGGTTATAGCAACGTCGACTTACACCAATTCTACATGCTGAGTTAAACATTAAATTGTATTTGAATTTTAAATTTATAAATAAAATAAAAAAAGAGAGTGAATTAGAATTTTTATATAGAAAATTTATCTAAAGTGATATGATATTTCAATTCGTCAGATTCTTTCTTTCTTTCTTATTTTTTTCATTGACTTTATCATAACAAGAAACTGGCAATAATATTAAGTGTAATATCTACTATGATTTTTACTATGTGATGGGCTAAATCCCTCTAATATAAAGTTTAGAATAATGCTTGGGATCCCCTTTTGGGGGTCACCCCCTTTGCCATGTGGTAGGGGGTGATTGGAGGAGCAGGAAAAAAAAGAAAAAGAAAAAGAAAAGGTAACCAATAAGAGAGAGAAGGGATCAAAGGGGGTGGGGGGAAAAGGGGGATGAATCATTACTCTAAAGTTTAAGGGGAGTGTTATTTGGTTTGAAAATTAAATTGAACATTTTTCTCTTTTACATGCCTATATTATTCATACAAAAAAATGAAAATATGTGAAGTTTGATTGGTTGATGCCATTTGGCACTTGTAATACTAACCAATCAAAACTAAACATGTCTATTTTGGCAAAAGTAAAAGCCTGAAAAAGCAACGTCAATATTTCTTAGATAACTCATGTGATTTATTTAACAAAGCAGATTCTCTCATAAGACAAGTCAAAAATCTTATCTCTTCAAACTTCAAACAAATTAAAATCCACATCTCCTCCTCCATTTAAACAATAGCTCAGCATGAAGGAAGGGCATCGTGCCCACACAAGTTTAGTCCAACATTTATTTGGAGATTTATAGGCCAATTTTATAAACTGGGCATAATACTCAATAAGTCCCGCTCTAAATTAATAGGCCTACATTTTCGATTTTGTCCTTATAACTTAACCCGCTAACCCACAATTCTTAATTCACACCAATTCTCATAACAAAATTTTCAATGATTCTCAACAGGAAAAAACACAAATTTTATGAACTAAGATCTCCATAAAAACGTCACTCACCACATATTGGACTAACTAATTAGTGAGATTGGGCCATTCACTTTCTCTAATAAGTGAAACTAATGGGCTGGTACGATAGCTTTGGGCTACTTGGACGCTATGCTGTCTCCTAGAGATGAGAAATTGTCGAAGAAACAAGTAGTTTTAGATTTTAGAACTGCTTCTTAATGGAAGGACTATAATCAATAACATGTGAAAAATTATACAATAGTTTGAGAGTATCACATGATCATATTTCTTTATTAACATTCATTATGTCTCTTATGTTCTTTAATCACTCAATACAAATAATTAATACTCTATTTTCTCCACCAATCATATTACGTACCCACGTAACCGTACTCCGAGACTACTAAATAATCACCCCCCTTAACATGATATGTTTGTTAGCTATATATTTTGTAAAAGCCAGTTATAATCCGACACGTGGCAGAATAAGGGTATTATTAGAAAATAATTTAAATCTTCAATCCTGATCGTACACGTGGTGATGATAATTGGTTCTCACATGGTCTGAGCAACTTTGGATCAGTAAAGAAACGCAAGGTGACGTGGCTTCAACGGTTACTCATATTCAAATTCAAATACAGGAGGGAAGCCTAACTGCAAATGGTGGCATAATGGAGCTACTTCTAAGGCAACATGATCAGCGATCATGGAGGGGCAGTTCGACGGTTCGAAGAGCAGTTCGAAGGTCATCTTTGACAAGTATAAATAGCAGAGAGACCCCCAGGAAAAAGGCGAACTCAGATCATACAAATCAGTCATTTACTTTATATATTTTCTTTTCTAGTCTTTTACATTTCCAGTCTTTAAATACCTGTTCTTTAAATACCTGCACTTTAAATACCCGCACTGCACTTCGATTCATAGGAGTAGCTTCAAGTAGATTCAAGTAGATTGCTGTTGTAAACCTCTCCGAGGCTGAGTTCGGACCATTGTAAGTGTTCATTTTTATGAAATACTTCAATTGTTCTTCATATTACTGTTATTTCTTTATTATTTCTTCTATCTCTTCTAAAGTTGATTGCATAAGCTGATGAGCTCTCACTTCATAATAGAGTTCTTCAGCCTTTGCTTCGAAGGCCTCTTCCCTCGATTATAATTGGTTGGCAATCACAATTTTTGTAAGGACTGATTGATCCTTGCTGGCACGCTCACATTTACAAAAATACCCTTCGAAAAGCCAAAAAGCCAACATATATTTTTTGGCACGCCTAGTGGGACATAATTAAAAATGGCTAGAAGAAGACGACAAGGAGAAAATGAACGCTTGGAGGAAGGCGTAGAAGGAGAGGTAGAAATACCTAATCCAGAGGATAATGTGGTAACACATCCTGTGGAAACTCCCATGTTATCAGAACCTTTGGTCGAATAGACCAGTACTTCTGGACAAGAACCATATGCTCGTAGTATTGGACGAAACCAAGGGATTGGACCATCCACCATTCCATCTACTCAGCCAACAAATCCATGGGATGACTTAGTAGATGTTATGGGACAACAACTAATGAACACAATGGAAAAATGGGCAACATCCTTCTTGGATCGAATGAATAATCACCAACCAACAAACACAAGACACACGGAGGAGGTTTTAAATGTCCCTAAGCAAAGATTGGCTAGAGATAAACAGCCTATGCAAGTTAATGGACATTCTAATGGTCAAACTAGTACCCAAAACTTTGAAAGACCATCACCTCAGTCTTGGTATGAACCTGTTTCGAGGCTTGCAGCGGGCCAAAATGCCTCAGTACTCAACAATGAAGCCACACAAATTGGTGGACCTGGCCAAATACAAGAAACTGGCATAAGAACGGTTACAAATCCCATGTTCGAAGCCATACCTGGTACTAGGGGGTATAATAATCCTTTATTCGAATTCATACCCGGGGGGTTGGAAGGTTTTCCCACAAATGGAAGGGATACAACATCTGTTCCAATACCTTTTGCAGGTCCTTTCACAGGACAGGCTCAAAGGGGTTACCCACACCCCCAACAGCAACCTGCACCACAGGGGCACCCAGTCCCAAATATGCAACCTTATGGACCAAGAGGACAACAGGCACAAGTTTGCCCACCAAACCCTGTGTTTGTCCCTCCAGTAGTGGTTCAGCAAGCATAAAATTTGGTTCCTAGAGACCAGATTGCTGATATTGTTAGGGAGATATGTGGACCAATGGCTCGGTGGGTCCAGACTCCTATATACAGAAAACCATACCCAGAATGGGTAGATAGGGTACATGAATACCCAAGAGGATTCAGAATACCAGATTTTACTCTATTTTATGGAACTGGAAATCAGTTAACTGTAGAGCATATTGCTAGATTTGCTGCTCAATGCGGTGAATTCACTAATCATGATTATATGAAACTGAGATTATTTCCAAATTCTCTGACTGGAGGAGCATTCGTATGGTACATCAATCTTACACCTGGGTCCATTCAAAATTGACAACAGATGGAAGAGGCATTCCATGCCCAATTCTTCCAATCGGAGCCAGAAGTTTCCATGGCAGACTTGGCTAGATTGAGTCAAAGGCCTGAGGAAAAGGCTACTCAGTTTATTGCCAGATTTAAAAGGGCTCGGAATAAATGTAGAGTCATTCTCCCAGAGCCAGAGTTTGTAAGATTGGCTCAAAACGGTTTAGAGTTCAGGCTTCGAAAGAAGTTTGATTCAACTGAGTTCAGGGATTTGGTCGAATTAACCTATAAGGTGTCTAGATATGAAGCATTATTAGAAGAAGAACAAGATCGAAATAATGCCTCGTATAAGACATATTATAGAGATCCCAATTATGAAATCGATGCAGCAGAGATTGTGGGCAAAGAACCTGTAATTTGTGAAGCATTGATTCATAAAGACACCACCATCGACCAGCAGTTTAAAAAGAAAGATTTCCACAGAAAGTATTCTTTCGATCTGGCAAAAGCAGATGACATTTTTGACCATCTGCTTGCAGCCAATTTCCTTAAGTTACCAAAGGGAGTAAAACGGCCATCTCTAGATGAACTTAAAGGAAAAATATATTGTAAATGGCATAACTCTTGGTCTCACTCGACTAAAAACTGCATTGTTTTTCGAGACAGGATCCAAGAACAGATTCGAAAAGGAAGTTTGAAGTTCTCAGCTAAAACAGAAAAAGCCATGGGAATTGACAGGGATCCCTTTCCAGAAGTTGGAGAGGCAGCAGCCAATGTCATTACATCAGACTTCCAGAACTTGTCCTTGACAGAATTGGAGGAAGTCAATGTGCAGATGCATGTTGCTAATCAAACCAACATCAAGAAGAATACTAGAAGCCCACCAGTTATTGAACAGGGTTTCTCGCACCAGAGGGAACACTCTGATGAAGAATCACTGGATGATGATTCTTTAGAAGCAGCGGTGATGCAGAGAATGTGCCCCAGGTGCAGACTCAGTTACAAGTGGTTGAAGGGGCTCCCAACTGATGATGCAGAGAATGTGCCCCAGGTGCAGACTCAGTTACAAGTGGTTGAAGGGGCTTCCAACTGATGGGAAGCAATACTACAGGGATGTTCAGAGACGTCCTAAGTCAACCAATGCTTACAACAAAAGGCCGTATCCGGGTAGTGATAGGCAGCGACCATCAATGGTTGAACCTGCAGTGGACAGAATGCATGCTAAAGGCAAGAGGTCCTTGTATGAGTCTAGACCACCTAACTACTACAGAGTAGAAAGCAACCATTCTGAAAGAAGATTGGGGAAGAGTTCAGGTTACGGGATTAAAGCCAGGGATTGGCCTCCTAGACTAACCTCACGCAGAACTGAAAGTGGCCACTTTCATCAAAGGCCAGAAACAGACTCGAGACATGAAGTCAGGAACAAGCATCTACCTTCACAGCCAGTTTTGAAGGCGGTTTCGAAGGTAGAAAGAAACAGTTCCACATCTGGATCAGTAGGATCGTGGGTGCCTGGAGTCCCAGACTGGTTTGTAATGCAAAACAAACCTAGGGAAGTGCTTGCTTATGGAGATGTTGTAAACCAAGGCAGGATGATCAAGCCTCCTATGGTGGCTCCGAATAACTGGGTGCTGCTTAAACACCCAAAGACGAGGGAACCAGACATGGTCCCAGTCATCTCAAGATCACAGAGGAGAAAAATTCAGCGCAGGTACACCCAGTAGGTACACCCAGTACCAGAAAGATCTGAAGGAAAGTGGAGAAAATTCTTCACCAGTCAAAACGGAAGGAAGGAAGAACCCAAAGTCAGACCATGCTCCAAAGCCGTTTCCACAGAGCAAAGTGGTCTGCAGCCGAGAACAATTGGCTAAGGTTCATTCTGAACTAAAGGCCAGAGAGAAGGAAAGTCTAGCAGGGTTGGAGAAAGCTTTGATGGAGAGTGGTAGCGAAACGGAAGAAGATGTTGACGTAAGCCAGAAGAAAGAAATGGTGGAAGAAGAAATGTTCGAGGCCTTCATGGATGAGCAAACATTTCTGGTTGAAAAGCCAGTTGAGGAAAATCATTCGAAGGGACCCGTTAGCAATGAAATACCAGAATGCATCATGCAGGATGTTTCTGAGGAAGTCGACCAAAGTGACCAAGAGGGGAAACAGGTGCAGCCAACCATCCAGTTTGGTTCGTTTCCCCCAGTGTCAGTGAACATGGTACACATACTACCACAGGAATTCCAAGCTGGAACAGGAATTCCAAGCTGGAGATGAGCTGACCCAGTTCAGATCTCCAGTGAAGACTCACAAGCAAGTATGGTGCAAGATAATCTCGAAATGGTTACCCCGATGGAAGATGAATATGAAAGTGAGGAAGTGGTAAGCATCAACCTATCGTATCCATTCGAGTACCCCTCAATCCTGATCGTACACGTAAATCGGTCGACCCAGCCGATCTGATCCGATTTTCAAAACTATAGTGTGTGTGTTTTTATTTGTTATTATTATTATTTTTTTAATGGGCTGGCTGCCAATGTTAACCAGATAAACAAAAAAAAAAAAATAGATGGCTCAAGCATCCATTAAAATGATCCTTAAATGTAGTTGAGTTGGCTTTGATTGGCTTAATTAAGGACAAAGCATTTCAAATTGATTTAGATTCTGTTATGATAGAACAGTTTAAATTTAATGGGCCTATTTTGAGGTTTGAAGAGTTAACTTTTTAAGATTTGTAGAGTATAATATTTATGTAAGTGTAATTTAAATATATAGTTACTAATACCTGATTATCATAATTTTTAACATGAATATTCTATTCAACAAGTTCTAAAAATTGGACTGTTCAGATCACAAAGATCAGCCTCAAAATGATCCCACTAAGTCTAACTATTCTCTCAAATTACATGGCCAACTTAAGAGAATCCAAACATTTTCAAATTTATAACCGATAAATGTACGTAGGTTATTGTATGTACCTATTACTAGTCCCAACTGACAATAGCTAAGAGCATCTTTAATGGTTTGTCATTGGAGCTGCCATTGCTATAAAAGCAACTGACAATAGCTAAGAGCATCTTTAATGGTTTGTCAGTGGAGCTGTCATTGCTATAAAAGCTGGTTTTAAAAAGTAGTGCTCCAATGGTTGAATATGACAACTGTCAAATTTGACAAATGCCAAAGCTTGTGCCAAAATTGACACAAGTTTTGGCAGTTGTCATATGTGTTAACTCAGCCAAAACCAACAATTTCCCTCTTGGCAAAACAGATAAATTTTGGCACACAAATGACCAAACACAGAACCAAACACAAAAATTGTTCCACCAGACAACCGATCGGGCCGTCCAACTAGACAATCGAATGCACAATTTTTATGTTTGAATCTGTGTTCGGTCGTCTGTGCGCCAAGAGTTTTTGATTTCAGCAATCTTCTTCTTCGTCTTCATCTTCTTTCTACCCATGTTCCTATTCTCCGTCAGAGAGAGTGATTAGTGATGAAGAATGAAGAGAGGAAGAGAGAAATTGAGAGAGGGGAAGAAAAAGGCGATTGAACTGTAAAAATTGAGATGAGAAAAACAGAGTATTTGAGATTTGCCGAAATGACATCTGACCATTGCAACACCATTACCATAATTTGATAATTTGCTACTATTTATTGCCAAGTTATAGCAACGGAAATGTTATTATAACGTTTGTCATTGGAGATGCTGCAAGAATCGAATATTCAATATTAGAAATATTAAAAACAATAAAATTACAAATTAGTAGAAATAAATCAAAATTATTGAAACTTTCTCAAAGGTGCAACCGATTTTGTCCGGTATATAAGTAAAATTTGTGATATTAAACATAATTGTCAGTTGTAATTTTGTGAAAATACAATTAATTTGGATTGCTTATATTTTTTTTCAAGACTCCTTCAATAAAATAAACTTTAACCACCAATTCAGATGTGAACTCAAAGTTGAAGAAATCCAACCAATACTGTGTACTAATCAAATGAGCTAGTTGCAGGCCCCACAAAATAAAATAATGAATTTCAAACTCTGATTTTGCTCAAAAAAATTCAATTTTTTTAGTAAAATGTTATGTCACTAATTTTTGTTATCATTTTACATCACTTTCTACATGGATTTTTATGATTAGTTTATTTGTTAAAAAATAATTCTTATAATATCTTGTAATGTAGTTCAATTATATATATATATATATATATAACAATCCTCATTAAATAATTACGCCAAAAACAAGTGAAAATTGCACCACACAATGGTGAATATTGTTGGAATTATGATTTTTATAGGCTTATTTTGGGTCAATTTGATGCTCAAATTTGAGTGGGGCCCACACGTCTTTTGGGGTGGGTCCAAGAGGTAACTTGTTCCTTGTTACATGACAAGTCACACGGTAAAGACGGTTTATGAAAACCATTTATAGGTGAATGAAAAGTTGGTATCGTTTTCGGGTTCGTAGAATGGACACTTAAAGAAATAATATGTGGATTTCCTTGGAATGGTTGTCTCACATTGAAACTTTAAGAGAACTTATGTCTGTTGTTAGCTATATATTTTGTAAAAGCCAGTTACAATCTGACACGTGGCAGAATAAGGGTATTATTGGAAAATAATTTAAGTCTTCAATCCTGATCGTACACGTGGTGATGATAATTGGTTCTCACATGGTCTGAGCAACATTGGATCAGTAAAGAAACGCAAGGTGACGTGGCTTCAACGGTTACTCATATTCAAAATTCAAATACAGGAGGGAAGCCTAACCGCAAATGGTGGCATAATGGAGCTACTTCTAAGGCAACATGATCAGCGATCACGGAGGAGCAGTTCAACGGTTCGAAGAGCAGTTCGAAGGTCATCTTTGACAAGTATAAATAGCAGAGAGACCCCCAGGAAAAGGAACGGAACTCAGATCATACATACCAGTCTTTATTTCATATTTTACTTTCCAGTTTTACATTCCTAGCAGAAGGACCCTCAGGAAAGGGACGGAACTCAGATCATACATACCAGTCTTTATTTCGTATTTTACTTTCCAGTTTTACATTCCTGTACTTTCAATACCTGCACTTTACATATCTGCACTGCACTTCAATTCATAAGAGTAGTCTCAAGTAGATTCAAGAAGACTGTTGCTGTAAACCTCTTCGAGGCTGAGTTTGGACTATTGTAAGTTTTTCATTTTTATGAAATACTTCCATTGTTCTTCATATTAATTATTATTTATTTTAATTTCTCCTAAGTCAAGCCACCAGTAAAAGTCCTCTTCAATACTTCCATTGTTCTTCATATTAATTTTTATTTCTCTTAATTTCTCCTAAGTCAAGCCACCAGTAAAGTCCTCTTCATTGAGACTGAAAGAACTAAAACACAATCGTCTGGTAATTGATTGGCAATCACAATTTCTGTAAGGACTGGTTGATCCTTGCTGGCACGCTCACATTTACAAAAATACCCTTCGAAAAGCCAAAAAGCCAACAGAGGGACTTTAGACTTTTGCCCTCATTGCCTTCCCTCTTACCGCTGTCATCCTTTGCTTCAGGTATATATCTATATATATATAGTCACTCATTATAATTATTTTAGCTTATTAATTGTATGCAAATTCAATTAAATCCCTTTTGTTCACCAACACTAATTCTTTACTAGGAAACTTTGAATTTTGTGGGAAGTCCAAAAATTATCTGGAGAGTAAGAAGTCCAAAGAAATTCCTGGGAAGGCTTGAGAAATAATTTATTTAGAGAGAATTTTCTCTGGAAGGACCTTAGACTTTTGTCCTCACTGCCTTCCCTCTCATCGCTCTCGTCCTCTGCTTCAAGTACATATCTATATATATAGTCACTCATTATAATTATTTTAGCTTATTAATTGTATGCAAATTCAATTCAATCCCTTTTTGTTCACCAACACTGATTTTTTACTAGGTAATTTTGAATTTCGTGGGAAGTTCAAAATTTATCTAGAGAGCGAATTTCTCAAGAGAGTGGGAAGTCCAGAGAAAATCTCTTTGGGGAGTAGGAAGGCCAGAGAAATAAAGAGGATTTCTTTGGATTGAATTTTCTCTCGAAGAATCTTAGACATTATGAAAATATTAGATGCCCATATTATAAAATCTTAATACTATGAACCTTAAAAAAAATCCCCATTTATTTATTTATAAATTCATATATTTTGATTACTTTAACAATAAAAATTTCATCTTTATCGTGAAGTATATTTATATAAATTTTAAAATTAAATAATTTATATATATTAATAAATGAAGAAGATAAAATAATATCATATATATTATTAAAAGTAGTATTTTTTTTCATGCTTAGGTAACACATTATAAAGGTTTACTTTTTTTTTAATGAAGCTATGCCAGTATGTATTTTCTTAATTACATATAAAGTTTTACACAAACTAAGACCTAATTTAAATATATTGAGATATTCTACAAACCCAATATTAATTTTTTTTTTCCATATATTTTTCATGATAAATTGAGATATTCTACAAACCCAATATTAATTTTGCGTTTCACGTTTTTCTTTTTGATAAATTGAGATATTCTACAAACCCAATACTAATTTTGCGTTTCACGTTTTTCTTTTTAATTCTTTCAAAAGTACTAGGATTTATTTTATTACTAAATTACATTATATTTCTTATTTATCTGTTGCTTTTCTTTTCAGATACGGAAACATCTACTTGAAAGCTGCCAAGAGCTGTATGGAAAAAGGAG